CCTTTCTGAATACTCAAACAAGTTTATTCCCTTCCAGTCTCTTCCTGTGTACCCCTCATAGGTGTCAGTGGTATAATCCTCATGACCTTTGAGGCCCACAGGAAAAGGAAAGCCTGAGTGTCTATGAGAATGCTGCTCATGGAAACTTTTCCTCACCAACGCTTTCCCCTACTGGGCATCTTGAGCAGACTGTGCTTCCTTTTGATTGTGAAGAAACCTACTTCAGGGGTTCTGAACCACAACTGAGGTAAAGGTGAGGTAGGAGGAAGGGAAGGGGGAAAACACTTAATGAAAAGGGTGGAGCACAAAAATCCTTCCTCATAGCCCAGCTTCAGGGCTATTCTTCTGGTGGATGTCAGAAGGCTCAGTGGGTACAATGAAGAAACACCTCTGATGTTTGCCATAAATTCTGTGGCCATGGAAGGGGGTGACTTGTCTTTTTCTCTTATATGTAAACACCCACTTCTGAGACCAAAAAGCTCAATTGGCCAGAGAGGTCACAGTTTCCTTCAGGTAACAAATGCTTTGGAAAGTTCATTTTGTTTAAGCCTGAGACTTTTTTTTTAAAGAGTAATTCCAACAGGCTATTTTTCAAGCTTAATAATGAGCCATGTTGATTTCCCTGAACAATGAACTTTAAGGAATCCTCCATGTCTTCTGTCTTACTGAGTCTGCAAAATGAAAAACATCACTTGGACTATATTTAGAATCTCTTTAGGCACATTGCTAGCATTCTTACTGATGCTATGGCTTTCCTGATCTGGGCTGGTATTAATTTGAACACACGCTAGTTTGGAATTTGTTATGGCCTTCCATCACTAGCAAAATAAAAAGAGCAGTGGATTCATTTGTGATATTACAAGCTCACAAGATGTACTCCAGTTTTAATTGCTAAACCCTAATGGTCCCACTATGCCTGTGGGTGGTAACTCAGGGTAAGGTCAGTGATGACAAGAGAATGAGAAAACTTCTTGAAACATAATTATAGTTATGGCATTATTTTGTGGGCACTAGCATATTCTCTGAGTGGAGGGTTGTTCTGCATGTGAAAGTCAAGGAGCATAGGTGGTCTGGTTGACCATTGAGATGGGAAGACCTCAGTTTGAATCCCACCTCACAGGCTTACTAGCAGTGTGACCCTGGAAAAGTCACCTAAACTCTCTGAGCCTCAGTTTCCTAGATTATAAATTGGGATAATAATAATCCCTATTCCTTAGGGTTGTTGGGAGGATTAAATGACATTATGTATGTGTAGCATTTGTAAATCTTTTTTTATTTGAATCTGAATATTTTATTTTTTCCCAATTACATGTAAAAACAAATTTTAACCTTTGTTTTTTCTGGAATTTTGAGTTCCAAATTCTCTCTCACCCTTCTGTTCTTCTCCCATCATTGAGAAGGCAAGTCATTTAATATAGATCCTACAAGTGCACTCATACAAAACATATTTCCATATTAGTCATGTTGTGAAAGAAAACACAGACCAAAAAATCAAGAAAAATAAAGTAAAATAACAGTATGCTTCAATCTATGCTCAGACTCCATCAGTTCTTTCTCTGGAGGTAAATAGCTGTTTCATCATAGGTCCTTCAGAATTGTCTTGGGTCTTTGTATTGCTGGGAATAGCTATGTCATTCACAGTGGATCACTGCACAATATTATTGTTACTATAGACAACATTGTCCTGGTTCTGCTCACTTCACTCTGCATTGATTCCAAGTTTTTCTGAGAGCATCCTGCTTCTCATTTCTTATATTCCATCACAATCACATACCACAACTTGTTCAGCCATTCCCCAATTGATGGACATCCTCTTAATTGCTAATTATTTGCCACCACAAAAAAGTTAACATTTTATAAATCTGAAAGTCATCGTCTTCTAATAACAATTCACATTTATAAGCTTTGAGGTTTATAAAATGCTTTGTGAATTTCTTCTCATTGAAGCCTCACAACAACTTGGTGAAGTAAATACTGCAGGGGTTATTATCTCCATTTTCTAGATGATAAGCCTGGGAGCTCAGAGTGGTTAAATGAAATACCCAAATTCACAAAGTTATTAAGTATCTGAGGTAGGATTAGAACTCTCAACTCTAAGTCTAGCCCTCTTTGGATTATGTCAACTGTTGCCTCTAAAACTCAGCTAATGTTATGCAAAAAGGAAAGAATTTAGGTCTGCTTGCTCTCAAAAGCCCTTCCTGTTAGCTACTCCCACCTAGAGTCCAGAGAAAGGGAGCCTGTTCTTAGCCTTCCTAAGATATATTCTGTCTCTAGCTGCTTAGGATTTAAAGTTTAGCCCTCCTTTTAATTGTTCGAAAAGGATTTGGGTTCCCTACAGCTCTAAATATTGGGAACCTGGTTCTTTTGTTGAATCGAAATTTCACCATTTCTACAGTACTTGTGGAAGCCAGAAGCTGTCTGTTATTCCCTAATGTTCCTCTAGATTTAAACAAAAGCTCCTAAAGAGAGAACATGACTGTGTCACAACCAGCATTTCATGAATCTATTGCTTCTGAGCAAAGAAGACCCACTATGCCTCTGGGAACCTCCTTTGTGGTCTGGAAGACCTAGGTTTCAGCCCTGCCTTTGACCTAGACTAGCCCTGTGACCATGAGTAAATCATTTAACCTCTCAGTGCCTCAGACAACTTTCCAGAGACTTTATGTTTTAAACTAGCTGCCCATCTGCATCAATGAAGGATGGGTATATCCACACAGGAAGTTTCCCACACTGATGAAATCACCCATCCAGACCCCATCATCCACTCCTTCTCTACCCCCCCCAAAAAACCCCACTGAATATTCAGAAGAGTAATTTCCCAACAACATACATTAAGCATTCTAAGATTTCTAGGCTTTTGTTATTGACAGTCATGGGTCTAATAACATTCTTGCCTGTGTCAGCTATAAACTCACTATACAGATACAGTGTTTACTCAGTGACTCTATAATTTGCTTTTACTGGAATAATGTGGTCTGTAGAACTGCCTTTCCACTCATTTCATAGGATAGCAAACCAGGGAGGAGACACTGTAGGTGTCTGTTAGATGTAGTAGAAAAAGCATGAGCCAAGAGGCTCAGATCTAGTCCTGGCTCTCCCACTCACTGGCTGTGTTATTTGGAGAAGTCAGTTAACCCTCTAGAGGTGTCCCAGTCTTCTGAATCATCAAAGAAGAGGATTGGATAGTTCCTCCCAGATTCATTTTTCTATGACTCCTGAAGCAATGTGTTTCCACCTAGGAACTGTACTAGGCATTAGGGAAACACAAACAATAAAAGAGACAATCCATACCCTCAGGAAACCTACTGTATGCCCTTTATCAAGGGAGGCAGTCTGTATATAAATATGAATACAAATAAATACAAAATAAATGTAAGACAAAGTTTGATGTGAGAGGGCACTAGCATCTGGAGTGGGAAGGGATCAGATCAGTTTTTACATAGAAGGTAGCATTTGAACAGGCTTTTTTTAAGGCAATTTGGGTTAAGTGACTTGCCCAGGATCACACAGCTAATAAGTGTCAAATGTTGGGTCTGAGACCGAATTTGAACTCAGGTCCTCCTGACTTCAGGGTCGATGCTCTATCCACTGTGCTACCTAGCTGCTCCTTGAACAGGATTTTAAAAGAAGTATGGAATTCTGAGAGGTGGGGATGAGGGAGGAACTCATCCTAGGCATTAGGAGACAGCCAGGGGGGCAGTTAGGTGGCACAATAGATAGAGCACTGGCCCTGGAGTCAGGAGGACCTGAGTTCAAATCCAGCCTCAGACACATAACACTCACTAGCTGTGTGACTCTGGGCAAGTCACTTAACCCCAATTGCCTCACACAAAAAAAGAAGAAGAAGACAGCCATGGCAAAGGTAAGGAGATGGAAGGTGGGCCATCCTGTGTGCTGAGTAAGGAGTAGGATGGGTAGCCAGACTGTAGGATAAGGAGAAATGTATGATAAGGTTTTAGTAGTAGATGGGAGCAGGTTGTGGAAGACTTTAATAACCAAACAAAGGAGCAATTTTTTTTTTATTCTAGAGGCAATAGGGATCCATTGGAGTTTATTGGATAGGGGAGTGATATAGTCAGATTCACACTTCAGGAAAAAACTTTGGCAGCTATGTGGAAGAAAAACTGAAGTGACTTGACAGCCTTGAGACAGGGAAGCCAATTAAAAGGTTATTGTAATGGTCTAGGCAGGAGGTGATAAAGGCCTGAACTGTGGTGGTGACTGTGTGAATAGAGACTAGGATAGATGCAAAGAGATGTGTGGATATGAAAACAAGATTTGGTAATTGCTTGGATATGCAAGGTGAATAAAAGTGAGGAATCAAGGATAATATCAAGGTTGCAAACCTGGGTGTCTGGAGGCATAGTGTTGCCCACCTCAGAAATAGAGAAATTTGCAAGACAGGTAGGTTTGGAGAAAAAGATAACAAGTTCTGTTTGGAATATGTTGAATTTGAGATGCCTATGGGACATGTATTTTGAAATATCAGACAGTTGGAGATGAATAACTTTCAGAAGAGTTCCTATGGCTAGATATAAATTTGGGAGTAATCTTTATAGAAATGATGCTTAAACTATGGGAGCTGATGAGGTCACACATGAAAGTGTATAGCGAGAGAATTAGCATGGGACTAGGACAGAACCTTGGGGTATGCCCACAATTAGGGGACATGATGTGGATAATATCCAGCAAAGGAAACCAAGAAGGATCATTCAGACAGGCAGGAAGACAATTAAGTGAGAACAATGTCATGAAAACCCAGAAAGAAGAGAGTGTCTAGGGGGAATGAGTCGTCAACATTGTCAGATGAAATGCTGCAGGAGAGATTGAGAAGCATGAGGATTGAGAAATGGTCATCAGATTTGGCAATTGACATCAATTAGTAACTTTGGGGAGATTGATTTTAGTTGAATGATAAGCCTGGAAGCCAGCTTGCCATCTAGTAACTCCTGCTGCTTCAAGGTAGAGAATGAAACTGGGCATGGCCCTTCTTTCCACAGGAAAACCAATGTATCTTCATATTGGGGAAGAAATAGATGGTGTGGACATGAGAGCTGAAGTGGGACTCCTGAGCCGAAACATTCTGATCATGGGAGAGACAGAGAGAAAATGCTATCCCTATAAAAACCAGATCTGCAACTTCTTTGATTTTGATACCTTTGGTGGGCATATCAAGGTATGTGTGTACCAATCTTGACTGGCCTAGCTATGGTGGAATGTTAGGGTGCACCATTGTTTCACAATGGTCTTTATGCACTGAACTCTCTTGCATGTATGCTATTCTTTAGCCAAACTGGGCTATTTACTTTTTCCTGTCCACAATCTTTCATCTCCCACCTCCGTGCCTTTGAATAGGCTGTTCCTCATGCTTATAATGGTCTTTCTTCGCCTCTCCTCTTGAAATTTTTGAATATCTTCAGTGCCTTTCCTCATCACCTAATTGTTTGTTCTTCTCCCATTCTGCTTTGTATTTATCTTGTAATAACTTCAAACTGCACTCGGGTTTTTTGGAATCCCTCGTATAATTGGGAGTGGCATTGTGGTGTCATGGAAAGAGAGCCAACCTGGAAGTCAGGAAGACCTGGGTTCGTGTCTAGCCTCTTACAGTATTGACTATGGGACCTTTGATGGAGTCATTTAATCTCTCAGTGCACTAGGCACTAGGCGACCCTCTAAGATTATATGTTGTTAACTTGTTGTTGATAATACCTTTGTAGAGGAAGCTTCTTCACAGACAGCTGCCTTCGTCAGTGAAATCACAGGTCTGGTTTTTTAAAATAATAATAATTAAAACAATAATAACCATAACTAACATTTGTATAGCACTTACTACATACCAGGCACTATGCTAAGTGCTTTATAATTATTATCTCTTTTGATTCTCACAACAACTCTGCAAGGTAGGTGCTATTATTATTCCCATTTTACAAATGAGCAAACTGAGGCAGAAAGAGGTTAAGTGAGTTGTCCAGGGTCACACAGCTAGTAAGCATCTCAGACTGGATTCAAACTCAAGTCTTCCTGACTCCAGGCCCAGTGCTCTATCCTCTGCCCCACCTAGCTACCTCAAGTACAGTTCACTATGTTAGGTAGACATTGGCAGAGACTCAGAGCTAAATAAGATACCTTCGGCCCTCCAGGAGTTCAGTGTCTAATAGCAGAAATAAGATTATATGCTAACGACCATGCTACAAAATAGAACGAGATATAGTTGATCTAACATATGATTGTCATCATCTCCTCACAGAATGTCACTGATTACTGGAACTAGGTATAGAAGCCTATGTTTCATATGCATCTATGATCTACAGATGAGAGACAAAAGAAAAAATTTATCAAGTTCCAAGTCAAGTCTAGTTAACAAGCATTTATTGAGCACCTACTATGTGCCAGGCACTGTGCTAAGCACTGAAGATATGGACAAAGGCAAAAACCAGGCCCTGTTCTAACAGCCTAGGGAAACCAGAATGGGGATTGTTGAAGGGTCTTGAGGGGGGTGGAGGGGAGGAGGGTACTATTTATAACAATAAACATCAGCTAGAATTTCATCCACTGCCAGATTTTTTTTTTCTTTTTGGATGCCTTAATAGATCACTTTTGTCAGTGTTTCAATGATATTTTCTGTCTTTTTTGCTTCCAGTTTGGACCTGGGTTTAAGGCAGTTCATCTCGAAGGTATTGAACTGAAACATATGGGTCAGCAGATCATGGGGCAGTATCCAATCCACTTCCACCTGGTTGGTGATGTAGATGAGAAAGGAGGCTACGACCCACCAACTTACGTGAAAGACCTCTCCATCCACCATACATTCTCCCGCTGTGTCACGGTCCATGGTACCAATGGCTTGTTGGTAAGAAATGATAGCTGAATAATTTATTCACCAGAGTGTTTTAGAATGCTGCTGTCCAATCCTGCCCTCTGTGGAGATTGGGCTGATTCATGCTGGCGATTAGGAACAATGCACAAGGCATAAGAGATCAACTCTCCCCTCTAAGGATGGAGGTCCAAGTCATGATCTGAGAGGGTCAAGCCAGAGTTCAAACCCAAAGAGTTAGACATGAGACATGAAAGAATTTAGAGCGATGGTCCAAAGTCAGGAGATGAGGGAGCAAATCGATCAGTGCAGAGTAAGTCCGGATAGCATTATGAAGAGAACACTGGGCACCCAAGAAATGAAGGTTTGTCCCATACAACTTCTCCAACCAAGACAATGATCTTTTAGGCCTCCAACTCCACCACACCCCCACTCTATTCCTTGTTCTGCTGTGCTGACATCACTGTGGACTCAAGCAGTCACCATCTTTCTAAGATCCCATGCAATTCTAAAATTCTGATTTAAAGATTCTGAGTCATCTATCCTGTAATAATTAGGATACTGGATTCAAGGGAGAGACCTAGTTCATGATTGCAGGGAATTTAACCTAATTTAAATCTCTTGATGTGAAAGCAAAGGATACAGTGAGGACTTGTGCCAGACTGTGACGTAGCCACCTTGGGTCATTTTTGTCCTGATTCTAGGATGTTCCACAATACACGCAAAGCCTAACCAGAAACTGGCCAGCTGTACTAGTACTGCAAACTAATTGATGGAGTGACTCACTGCCCTCCCCCTCTGGAGCACATTTTTTTATACTCCAGAGTAAGCAAGCTATTCAGACACATTGTACACATGTACCAATCCATAGCAGGAAAACCCCAAGCACTTATGTATGCACCAATCAGAAGTAAACCAGATAAGAAAACATGCTTGGATTGCATTATTTCTTGGGTGCTCAGTGCTTACAGATACCAGCCACTCTGATGTTTTCTGTCAACTTCACTCCTCAGGGAAAGGAGCCCAGACTGAAATAATTTCCTTGTCCCTTCTCTATTATGTTTGATCCCCAACCAATTAAAAATTAAATACTGGGAATGAGATATAAAATGAGGAAGAATCATGGAATAGTGGGAAGAATAGAGTCAAAAGACCTAGGATCAAATTCCTTGCTCCCCCAATGACCTCAGTAAAGTCACTAAACTTCCCTTGGCCTCAGTTTCTCCATTTGTAAAATTTGAGGGTTGGGCTAGTTGGCTTTATAAGTTTCCTTCAGACTCAAAATCTGTGATTCTAGGTTAAATATTCAAGCGTACACAATGCTTGCAAACCTCAAAGCACTATATAAAAGTCAACTGTTATTAAAAATCTTTACCATGGGTGTGGCATTAATTATCTTCCAGGCACTTATGTAACCTTCATAATCTTGGGGGGGTGAGGGGCAGGGGAGAGAAGAGCCTACCCTTAGTTCAGAGAATGGAAATCTAGGCCCCTAGAGAGATGATGATTAATTACAGACTTGAAAAAAAAAGTCATTGGCCGAACTGCAAGTTAAAATCAGGGATTGCTGGTTGCCATCTTATACCAAAGACCATTCAGCCACTTAAATTGGTAAGTGCTGACATGTCCCTGGTGTCCTTCAGTATCTAATTTGCTATTGTTTGACTATTCTGTTTCCCAGCATAAGCTGGAGCCCTGTTAGAATTGAGAGCTATGAAATGCCATTTTCTCCTGTGCTGGGATCACTTAGGGAGTGCTAGGGTGGCAGAACCAACTGCTGGTCACATTGTAAAGGAAATCACGCAGACCTCCTGTGCATTAGCATCTGCTTGTCTGATAAGGAGCTGATCGATAACAATACCAACTGCCATAGTCTTTAGGCTTATTATGAGAATGTTTTCCTTTGTAGCAGTACTACAATTCACTTCTCAGCAAAAATAACTAAGTGCCTACTAAGTGCAGGATCCTGTACTAAGTGCTAAGGATAGCAAGATAAAATACAATGCTTGCCCCCAAGGGGCATACACTGTAGTAGATCTACACAATAAACTGAATGCCCAAAGTGCATAAGATGTAGGTTTGAGACTACTCATAAAAATTGGTTGTAAATGTCAAACTTACTTCTTGATCTTATTGTTGAATATTGAATTCGTGATTCATTACTTTTTTTTTAAGAGCATAATAGAAATATGAACTGAGTGCTTGGAGAAGTCTGAAAAGGGAGAAATAGTTTTCTGTTGGGTAGGAGTGGCACGAGTCACAAAAGGTGGCAAGGTGGCATTTGAGCTGGGCCTTAAAGAACGGGATGGATTTCAATAAGTGAAGACAGTGAAGCTAGAGTTGGAGTCTATAAGACATTCCACATACAAGGTGGTCATTAATATCAAATGTTGCAATGAAATCAAGAAAAATCTCAACTGATAAAAATCCATTGGATTTGACAACTAGCAAATGACTGGTGAGTAGCCTTCCAGCTTCAGTAAGTTGTAAGGGCAGAAACCATATTGCAAGGAGTTGAAAGGTGAGTGAACTGTGAGGAAGAGAGTCATTGGGTATAGGTAGTCTTTTTAGAAGCTTGGCATGGTTTTTTACTGTGCTTAGCCATGAATGCCACCATGCCAGCACTTCCTGATTCTCGAAGGCAGGTACCGATTGATTCAGTAGAAGAAAAAAGACATTTCACAGCACTTAAATAGCTTATGAGGAAGAGAAGAACATTCAGGCAATAACAAATCAGATGCTCAATGTCACACAAGTGGAGAATAGTGATGGGACAGTAGCTAGGGGTGGGGGAGGCAGCAGAGTATTGCTCAGCACCATGGCTAATGGTTATCATGGTTATGACAAAACTAAGTGTATCTGGGTAGTTCAACACAAAGGATAAGACAACTAAGTAGTTAAGTGGCATTATCACAATTGTTTAAAGAGAAAGGGCAGTTACTAGACCATACATTTGATTATGCTAATCCACTTTCATGACTTCTGGTGGCATGGAGTGTTCACATAGCTAATGAGGTAGAAAGAGTTATGGACTAGGAATCAGGAAGACCTGAGTTCCAATTCTACCTTAGAACCTTACCTTTGAGACTCAGGACAAGTCACAACCATCATAGAAAAAAATTTTGAGCTTAGCATTTAGCAAAATTAAATTAAATGGCAACACTATATTATAATCAACTATGATAGACTTAGCTCTTCTCACCAATACAATGATTCAAGATAATTCCAAAGATGGAAAATGCTATCCACATCCAGAGAAAGAATTATGGGGTCTGAATGCAAATTGAAGCATACTATTTTTGCTATTTTTTGTTTTTTTTTCTTTCTTGTGGGTTTTCTCTTTTTTTCCTCATTCTTTCACAACATGACCAATATGGAAATATGATTAACATGATTGTACATGTATAATGTCTATCAGATTGCTTGTTGTCTTGGGGAGGGGAGAGGGAGAAAAATCTGGAACTCAAAGTCCTACAAAAATGAATGTTGAAAACTATCTTTACATGTAATTGGGAAAAAATAAAATACTATTAAGTGCAAAACATAAAATAAAATAAAATAAGAAACTTAGTTTTAAAAGGAAGGCTTTCTGAATGGCTCCATCCCACATGAGCTTCTCTCTAGCCTGCCCCCACCTTCTCTCTTTTCCATTTACTTCACCAGAAGCAACCTCATGTCCTGCGGTCTTTGCCATTGGAATGACTCCTTGGGGTTCTCTATTTCTTCACAAGGTGAAACTATCTCTCATTCCTCAACTGAATTTGTCCTTAAAAGATGGTTTGAGACCATATTTCATACACTTGTCCCAGTTACCAAAACTGATAGTCTCAGTCCTGGCTCAGCTTTTCAGTAAAGTTTATAATGAGAAGGACTTTGAGAGCCAGCTTTGCCTGCATTTCTAATATGGCATGTGTTCTGGCATTACCCTAAGGGTGTGTTTTTAAACTTTAGACATAACAATGGGAGTGGAGGGTTTTTTGTTTTTTAATGAAAAATGGGCAGGAGATGGAGCATTGGAGGTATAGAGATGTTGTAAGACAGAGTATGATTGACGAAGCAAAGTCCTTGAGAATATAGAAAAGAATGAAATCATTGGCACAGATTAGCCTATGAAAATAAGAGAGACACTTTTGTGTCTGAGTTAGAAAAGAGAAGATGTAGTAAGGGTGAAAAAAAGTTTTGAGGGGCAGAGTTGGTGGAGATTGTGTGGAATGGCCTTGATATCTTCAATAAAGTATTATGCAATGACATCTCTTTGTAGTAAAAGAGTTTTGAGGTATTAAGAATAGTAGAAAATATTTGGAACAACTGTCATTGGGAATGCTATAGGGAGTAAATAAGAGATTAATAAAAAGAGTTGTTAAATAGCAGTAAAGGTCCAATGAAAATTACATTTCATGTAATTTTATAGTGGCCTTTATCAATAGGATTTTGTGAGTTTCTTTGCCAACTCTCAGAGACCCAGAAGTAGAGCAGAAAAGAAGGATAGGGGAAATTACTTAGGATTGCAGACTGACAACTATGACAAAGTTAAAGGGTGAGCAATTCTAGGTTGCTAGTGAAAGCATAGTAAAAAAAAAGTAATAGTAATGCATCATTGGGTTCAGACTGGCTAAAGAGTCAAATAAAGACAGAAAGGAATAGTCAGCTAGAAAAACACTCAGGGATGGCTTAGGCCCACAAGTATACTAGTAACAAAATATTTTATCTTTTGCTTAATTTTCTTTTCAATTTACTGCTGTTTTTAGAGTGAAATGATCATACCTCTATTTTAAAATTCTGTTCTTTTGCTTTAAAATGTGTTTTGAATGAATAATATATTTCTTTAAAATGGAGAGGCATAGTGGATAGAAATCTGGCCTATGAGATTGGAATATCCTGAATAACAGCATGACATCTTTCAGTGGCATTGTGGATAGTACAAGTACAGATTCACTTATGTGTGAGTATAGACCAGAAGAAATGCTGATTTTAGCCTATACTCAGGAAATCTTCCTGATTTCCGCACAAGATTCATGCCAATTTGAATACTCAGC